ACTGGTCTGGCTATGATGTGCCTTGGAGAAGATCTTCTTGGGTTGATTCTACAAGGGATCTTTTGTATTTCTTGGGTCTGGATATTTGAATGCCTCTCTAGATTTGGAAAGTTTTCTTGTCAGATTTCATGGAATAGATTATCAATGCCCTTATTAGTTTCCTCACCTTCTGGGATACCGATTATCTAGATGTTTGGGTGCTTAATACTGTCTAGTACTTCTTATATAGTATTCTCATTTTGGGAGGTTATTTTCTCAGGTTTTTTTGGTCTTTTTTTCTAGATCAGAGGTTTTGCCTTCAACATCTGAGATTCGATTTTCTGCGTGGACTAATCTGTTTTGTTTTTAAAGAATTATTTTATTTAACTTTATTTATTTATACATTTTTTAATTTTAATTTCACCAGAGAGGGAGAGAGAAAGTGAGAAAGCAAGCCACCAGGTTCAGGATTTCAACCATAGTTGCCCACGTGGGAATCCAGTGCTCTTAACCACTACACCATCTGCTGGCCCCAGGACTAATCTGTTTTTAATACTTTCAAGGGAGGTTTTGATTTCCTAAATGGCAGCCTTCATCTATAACAATTCCATTTGATTCTTTTTATGGTATATCTTTCCTCTTTCAGATCATGAAAGAACACCTCCTAGAACTCATTGTCTCTTTTCTCCTGCATCTTCTGGAGTTCATTATCTCTCAGCCCTTGCATCTCGTTTAGTTTTGTCACTATGAATATTCTTAAGTCTCTATCAGATATTTCCATGAATTCTACTGTACTGTCTGTGGATGATGAGGGATTGTTCTTTTCCCTTAGGGGAGAGATATTTTCTTGGTTTCTCATGTTTCTTATGCCTCTATGGTTGTTTCTGGTCATTCTGTCACAAAATCCTCCACAGTGCTTCACAATGCGGTATCAACAATAAGATTAGGAGTTCAGATTGATAAAAAGAAATTTCTTCATTAAAGCAGGAGGTTCAGTGACTTTAAAAGTATTCAGATTCTTGGCTAATGTGACCTAGGCCTTGTCTGAATATTTCAGGAGATGGGTTTAGAGCATAGCTTCCCTGAACACTCCTTTTCTTTTAAGAATTATTTAATTTTGTTTTTTATTTAATAATAGTTTATTTTTTATTTAATTCTTAAAAGAAAAAGAACAATAACATTTTAGAGCAGGAAGGGAACTTGGACATTTAATTATCTAATCCTTCATCTTTTTATTTATTTATTTAGAATGTATATTTTTTAAAATTTGCTATAGGGCACTTGCACTCACCAAATAGAGAGAAAAGGTGAGAATGCAAGCTGCCAGGTCCAGGACTTGAACCACAGTCAACCATGTGGGAGTCCCGTGCTTTAACTACTGTGCCACCTGCCTGTCCATAGTTCGTTTTCTTCACCCTTTAGGCTAGAATTTAAACATTAATCAGGAATTTCTTAGAAAGGAGGATATTTAAAATATGTTATTTTCTTACAGATAACATAAAAGAGAATGTTGATTTAAATAAGATCCTCCAATGGGGCCAGTAGGTGGTGTGGTGGTTAAGGGCGCTGGACTCCCACATGCCCAACCATGGTTCAAGTCTTGGACCTGGTGGCTTCTTTCTCACTTTCCCTCCTTTTCTCTCTCTGTCTCTCTCAGGTCAAATTGGAATATAATAAGTAATAAATAAATAAATAAATAAGATCCTTCATTAGTGAAATACTGTGTTGTTAAAAGATAAGTTATGGGGCCAGCAGGTGGTTATGGTACTGGACTCCCACATGGCTGGCCACTGTTCAAGTCCTCAACCTGGCGGCTTGAAACTCACACTGTGTGTGCGTGTGTGCATGCCCATAACTCCAGGAGGAGAATAGAGGAGAAAGGATTGAGGCATTTCCACTCCCCTTAGGGGGTAATATCTCACTTTCCCTCTCACTGTCTCTGTCTCTTTGAGCACATGTACTCTATGGCAAAAACCTTACCCTCCCCCCTCAAAAAAAAAAAAAAAAAAAACACTGGACCAGCAGGTAACATGGAGGTTAGGCAGCTGGATCCCACATGGCCGACTATGCAGTTAAAGTCCCGGACCCGGCAGCTTAAAAAAATGCTGGGCATGTGTGTGCACCCAAAATCCTGAGAGGAAAATGGAAGAGAAGGGACTGTGGTGTGACCATCCCTCTGAGGATGAGTTCTCACTTTTCCTCTCTCTCTTACTCTCTGGAGAGCACACATACCCTAAAACCGAAACAAACAACAACAAAAAACACCTAAAACAAATATATAGAAGAAATGACTTTGAAAAATGTGTGTGTGTGTGTGTGTGTGTGTGTGTGTGTGTATAAATTAATGAAAACTGGATTTCTCAAAAATTAAAATACTGGACCTAGCAGCTGCCGTGGTAGTTAAGGGCACTGGACTCTCACATAGCCAACCACAGGTTGAGTCCCGGACCTGGTGGTTTGCTTTCTTACTTTTCCTGTCTCGCTTTGTCCCTCTCTGGTCTAATTTAAATAAATAAAGTTAAATAAAATAAATCTTTGAAGAAAAAAATGAAAATGCTTTATCACTTCATTGCTAAATTTCAAAATTATTGTAGCTTGGGGCCAGCCTTGTAACCTAGTAGTTAAGGGAGCTGGATCCCACATGGCCGAGATTCTAATTCCAGCCCTGGTGGCTCAAAAAAGACACAACAGGCACGTGTGTACCCATAGCCAAAATTCTCAACAGTATGGAGAAATGGAGAAAAGGTTGTGGTGTAACTGTACCCCATTGGGGTGTGCTTTTCTTCTCTCTGGCAAGCACATGCACCCTTTGACAATTAAAAACCCCCAAAAAAGGAAGAAAAGGATAAAATCAGTTTGGTAGGCTGTATGCAGAAGGGACAGAAGACTAAAATTACAGATTTGCACACTTGTAAAAGTAAAGGGCAAGCATTCTTGTTTTTCATCCTCATGGAATGTACTTCATGTCCATGGTTATGTCATGTCATTCAGGCAAATATTTGCTTGGCATCTACCACTTACTTAGTAAACACTGCATACAGAGATTGCTGTGTCCTCACAGTATTCGATCAGGACACCTTCTCTTCCTAGTTCATGGATGTGTAGTAGTGCTCACAGTATTGATAATCCCGAAAGCTCACCTGAGTGTCAAGTGTCCAGGGCTTTTACTGGGGCTCCCTTATGTGGGCGTGATTGATGGAATCATAACGCTAACAAGGTCAGTTGCCAGCTCCTCTCCAAGACTATGCCGATAGGTTCTCAAAGCTCTCCATCCCGAGTCCTGTCAGTTTAAGGTACACTCAGTCACCTGGTTAGCATAAAGTATTAGGACCCACCATGAATAAACAAGGAAACCCTACGTTAGGGAAATCCTCAAGGTTGGAGGCTATTTCCCAGAAACCAGGGACAAAGAACAGCCAAATTCTTTTTTTTTTTTTTTCCATTTTTAATGTCAGAGGGTACATGTGAGACAGAATGAAAGGGTAGGATGGGATAGGATGGAGAAATGGGAAGGGTAGGTGGAAAACACTCCTCCAGAGGGGATCTTGTCATACTACAATTCTTTATTCCGCCAGTTCTCCATCCAGTTAGGGTCCTAAGTGTGCATGCACATGCTTGGCTTGAAGCCATCAGGACCCAGACCCAGACCCCAGCCAGCCATCTGGCATCTGCTTCCTCCACATAGCACTTAACCACTGTACTATGGGGCTACCCCTAGTGAACTTGATTTTGCTTGTCTGTTACTCTTTAATATGTCACATCCACATGCTGTTTTACTTAGAGTTTTTACATTTTACTTCTTTATTATTAAATTTGCTATAGAGCATGTGTGCTCATCAGAGAGAGACAGGTGGCAGGGTTGGGGGGGAGTGAGAAAGCAAGCCGCCAGGTCCAGGACTCGAACTGCAGTCAGCCGTGTAGGAATCCGTCACCTTAACCATCACACTACCTGCTGGTTCCACATCCACTTTCTTTTTTTCTTTTTCTTTTTTTTTGGAGAGATTTTGTTTTTTGTTTTTTGTTTGTTTGTTTGTTTTTTGCTATAGGGTGCGTGCACTCGCCAGACAGAGACATAGAGACAGAAAGCAAGAAATCACCCCCAGGGGGGATGGTCACGCCGCAATCCCTCCTCCTCCATTCTCCTCTCGGGATCTTGGGCACGCACACACACGCGCCCGGCGTGAGTTTTAAGCCACCGGGTCCTGGACGTGAACCGTGGTCGACTACGTGGGAGTCTAGCAACATAGCCATTATGCTAACTGCTGGTTCCCAACATCCACATGTTTTTAAACCCCCTTCTCCAGGCTTACTACATAGCTTGGTAATGGAAGCTTGATCCCACATGGCTGACCATGGTCCAAATGCCAGCCCCAGTGGCTTAAAAATCACACTGGATATATGTGCATGCCCCATTGTGGGGTTCTTTCTCCCTTTCTCTGGCAACATTGAAGGAAAGAAAACAAAAACACAAATCTACCACCTGAGCACCTCCCCCAATTAATTTATAATGGCTGTGATATTTCTAGTAATCTTTGCTCCAATACAGAAGCTCCAGCTGATCAAGCTCACAGAGTATTTACGGAGACCAGCAGTTAGCGTAATGGCTATGTCGCTGGACTCCCATGTAGCCAACCACGGTTCGAGTCCCAGACCTGGTGGCTTAAACTCAAGCTGGGCGCATGGTCGTGCGTGCCCAAGATCCCGAGAGGAGAATGGAGGAAAAGGGATTGTGGCATGGCCATCCCTGCTGGGGGGGTGATTTCTTGCTTTCTGTCTCTCTGTCTCTTTCTGTCTTTCTGGCGAGCACACATGCCCTATAGCAAAAACCTCTTAAAAACAGTATTTACGTACTCTTTCAGTTTATTCATAAAAATGTGGTGGTGTTGCTGTGTTGTAATGTTGACTTCTTACCTTCCAGGAAGAGAGAGAAAGCCTTTAAACTAAACACCAAGAACAGATAACTGTGGGTGACAACATGTCTTTTGCACATTAATCTTAATATGGTATTATTACATTTTCAGAAAACTACTAAAGTTCCTGTGAAGCAAAGTAAAAGTTCCTAAGAACAGAATGGGTAAGTAATATGAAGGTAATTTTGTTTCAGTTAAAAATGATTTAACTTGGCCAGATGGCGTAATGGATACCTCGCTGGACTCCCACATATTCGACCACAGTTCAAGGTCATTGAACTTGGCAGCTTAAAACTCGCGCCAGGTGCCTGTACGTGGGTGCCCAAGATCCCAAGAGGAGAATGGAGGAGAAGGGATTGAGGTGTTTGCCATTCCCCCCAGAGGTGATTTCTTGTTTTTTGTCTCTCTGTCTCTCCGATGAGCATTGCACCCTATAGCAAAAATCTTTTTTTCTCTTAAAAAAAAAAAAAAAAAAAAAGAGAAAAAATCCGGGCTGGGAGGTGGATGGTGGTTAGGGTAGCTGGACTCCTACATAGCTGACCACAGCTGGAGTCCCAGACCTGGCAACTCATTTTCTCACCATCTTTCTCTCTCTCTCACTCTTTCTCTGGTCAACTTCAAAAAATAAAATAATGGCAATGATTAAAATTAAATAATTTCTTTTAATAATTATTTTATTTAACTTTATTTTATTTGACCAGAGAAGAACAGTAAGAGTGAGAGGAAGCAAGCCGCTGGATCCAGGACTAGAACTATGGTCCGCCACGTGGAGTCCGGTGCCCTTAACCACCATGCCACCTACCAGTCCCTAAAATTAAATAATTCTTTTTTAAAGAAAAAAATGCCTCCCTGATTTACAATGGTTTGATTTTGAATTTTTCAACTTTATAATATTGTGAAAGTGACAGACATTCAGCATTCAGTTCCAAAATTGTTGAGAACTTTTTTTTTTTTTTTTTTTTTTTAATTTTGCCAGATAATGCATGTTCTTGCTCGCCAGAGAGAAACAGAAAGTAAGAAAGCACCTCATGGGAATGGTCACACTGCAATCTCTTTCCCTACTTCTGCCCTTCATGATTCTGGGCATGCACACGTGTACCCAGTGTGTTTTTCAGGTCGCTGGGTCCAGTACTCGAATGGCACAGGTTAGCCATGTGGGATTCAGCTGCCCAACCACCACACCACCAGCTGGCCCTGAAATATATTTTTAATTTGTGACAAGTGTACCAGGACATAATCCCATCATAAATGAGAGAGCATCTGTAACAGAAGCTGAAGTTTTAAGTCTTCAGGGTCAGTGATGCAAGTAAGAACATGGTCAGAGTAGATTGAAATTAGTTGTCTATATTAACGGCTTATGTTTACTGTATTTTCCTGAAAGGCAGATCAGTAATGGAATTGTTCCAGTCCAGTTTGTGATTTCTAGTGAGTGATTGTACCTTAAGAAATTTGAGACTTTTCTAACAAAGCTAAGAATGGTTTGGCTTGCAAAAGCTATTGTTTTATTATGAGTCCCCCAATTTTTATTATGGAAAAATTGCAAGAAAAATATAACATAGCTTTCACAGTTTTGCCACACCTGCTTTCCGTGTGTGTTTGTGTGTGTGTGTGTGTGTGTGTGTGTGTGTTTATATTCGACCTCCATCATCTTAGGGTCCCAGCTGGATCCAGGAATTAAATTGGTGTAACAAAGATCAATAGGAGTAAAGCATACAAATTTATTTAATACTGGTTTTACATAACATGAGAGTCTCGTAAGGAAATGAAGACCCCAAAGAAGCAGTTAGTCAGTTATTTATATACTCACTTGGGCAAAGTTTAGTAAGTTGTAAAGAAGCAACTCAATTATGTGAGAAGTCTTACAGATAAAAGTTATTTTGAAACAAGATCTATACAGAATTCTCTCAGGCTTGACTTCTTGTCCTTAAGGATAAGGATTTGCATCTTTCGCATGGGAATTTTCATCTTTTACTTTTAAGAAGCAGCATGGGAATCAACAGGTGGCATAGTGGTTGACACGCTGGGCTCCCATGTAGTCAACCATGGTTCGACTCCCAGACCCAGTGGTTTGACTCACTTCAAGCACATGTGCATGTGCACCCAAAATCCCAAGAGAATGGAGAAGGAAATTGCAACATGGCCATTACCCGGGGGGGTGGGGGGGTGGTTTCTCATTTTTTGTCTCTCTTTCTTTCTGTTTCTCTAACCAGTACATGCGCCCTATAGCAAAAAATCTCTCAAAAAAAAAAAAAAAAAAAGGAAAGAAAGAGCTTAAATATCAAAGCGATGTTTCTACTGTTTTTTAAGAGCCTTTAATTTAGAAAGTCAGCATTTCATAGTGATGTAGCAATGCTTCAGTACATACACACACTGGTTTTTCACGTGTGCTTTTAAGATTTAGTTAAACATGTAGAAATGCTTCACATGTAAATTCTTCGGTTTTTGTCTCCTAATTCAGTCTATGTTCAAAATTTCCCAATCGTTTTAATTATTTAGATGGAGAGGAGAAAACTTATGGTGGCTGTGAAGGCCCTGATGCCATGTATGTCAAATTGATATCTTCTGATGGTCACGAATTTATTGTAAAAAGAGAACATGCACTAACATCAGGAACAATAAAAGCCATGTTGAGTGGCCCAGGTAAGTACAGTTCTTTCTTTTTCTTCATATTATCGGTACTTGTAATATTTGATCAATGTGTTTTGTTTTGTTTCGTTTTGTTTTTATTATTGCCAGAAGGCACATGTGCTTGTGAGAGACACACAGAGTAGCGCATCCCCCAGCAGGTCATGGACACACCACCATACCTTCTCTGTTTCTCATCCTGTCAGGATTTAGGGTACACACACATGCCCATCTGTTAAGTTTTTCAATCAGGTTTTTTTTTTTTTTTCAAGCATCTGGGTCTGGAATTCAGACTGCTATTGACCATGTGAGATCTAGCTCCCTTAACCACTGTTATGCAGCCAACCCTGATGAATGTATTTTTAAAAAGTTAAATAACTCATAACTTTTTTTTTATTTTAAATAATTCTTTTTGGTTGTTTTTTTTGTTTGTTTGTTTGTTTTTTGAGAGGTTTTTGCCACAGGGCATGTGCGCTCACCAGAAAGACAGAGAAACAGAAAGCAAGAAATCATCACCCAGGGGATGGCCACGCCGCAGTCCCTTCTCTTCCATTGTCCTCTCGTTATCTTGGGCATGCACACACACGTGCCCGACGTGAGTTTAAGCCACCGGGTCCAGGACTTGAACCATAGTCGACTACATGGGAGTCTAGCGACATAGCCATTACACCAGCTGCTGATCGTGCTTTTTTTTATTTTAAAAGAATTTTTTTTAATTAAATTTTATTTATTTATTTTATTTTTATTTGACCAGAGATGGGCAGAGCGAACAAGGGTGGGGAGGGAAGCAAGCTACCAGGTCTGGGACTCAAACCACGGTTGGCCATGCGGGAGTCCAATGCCCTTAACTACCACTCTCCCTGCTCGCCCCAACTTTTTTTAAAGAATTATTTAATTCAGTTAATTAATTTGTTTGTTTTCATTTGACCAGAGAGGGACAGAGTGAAAGAAAGAGAGAAAGTGAGAAAGCAAGCCACCAGGTCCAGGACTCAAACCACTATTGGCCATGTGGGAGTCTGGCATCTTTAACCATCATGCCACCTGCCAGCCCCACCAACATTTCTTTTCTCTCTCTTTTTTTTTTTTAAGAGAAATTTTTGCTATAATGTGTGTGTGCTTGCCAGAAAGACAGAGAAAGACAGAGAGATAGAAAAGGAGAAATCACCCCCAGGGGGGATGGTCACGCCGCAATCCCTTCTCCTCCATTCTCCTTTCGGGATCTTGGGCACGCACACTCACGCGCCCGGCATGAGTTTAAGCCACTGGATCCGGGACTCAAACCGCAGTCGACTACATGGGAGTCCAGCGACATAGCCATTACGCTAACTGCTGGTACCAGGCTCAGTTTTCTTTACCCCAAAAGCAAATGGAAACAACTGCTGTTCACCTTATAAAACCACTGATATTATTTCAGGAGTGATTCTGAAGTATAACCTAATTTAGCATTTATTTTCCTGCATAAAGAACTGCACACATCGGATACCTAGTACCCACAAATTCACATACAGTGAAATAAATACACACCTAGAGATATGTGCTGAAATAGGACCAGAATACTTTCTGCCCTATGAAAATTATGTGTGCACAGTGCATTGGGAAATCATAAAGTTTTTCTTCAAAAATAGCCAAGACTCACAAATTACACACCCGTGGGTATGTCGGCAAGGTTTAAAACCTCGTATTTCGCACTTTTCCTTTCAGAAAAGCTTTTCGAGATACAATGAAAGAAGCAGCATGGGAATCAACAGGTGGCATAGTGGTTGACACGCTGGGCTCCCATGTAGTCAACCATGGTTCGACTCCCAGACCCAGTGGTTTGACTCACTTCCAGCACATGTGCATGTGCACCCAAAATCCCAAGAGAATGGAGAAGGAAATTGCAACATGGCCATTACCCGGGGGGGTGGGGGGGTGGTTTCTCATTTTTTGTCTCTCTTTCTTTCTGTTTCTCTAACCAGTACATGCGCCCTATAGCAAAAAATCTCTCAAAAAAAAAAAAAAAAAAAGGAAAGAAAGAGCATAAATATCAAAGCGATGTTTCTACTGTTTTTTAAGAGCCTTTAATTTAGAAAGTCAGCATTTCATAGTGATGTAGCAATGCTTCAGTACATACACACACTGGTTTTTCACGTGTGCTTTTAAGATTTAGTTAAACATGTAGAAATGCTTCACATGTAAATTCTTCGGTTTTTGTCTCCTAATTCAGTCTATGTTCAAAATTTCCCAATCGTTTTAATTATTTAGATGGAGAGGAGAAAACTTATGGTGGCTGTGAAGGCCCTGATGCCATGTATGTCAAATTGATATCTTCTGATGGTCACGAATTTATTGTAAAAAGAGAACATGCACTAACATCAGGAACAATAAAAGCCATGTTGAGTGGCCCAGGTAAGTACAGTTCTTTCTTTTTCTTCATATTATCGGTACTTGTAATATTTGATCAATGTGTTTTGTTTTGTTTCGTTTTGTTTTTATTATTGCCAGAAGGCACATGTGCTTGTGAGAGACACACAGAGTAGCGCATCCCCCAGCAGGTCATGGACACACCACCATACCTTCTCTGTTTCTCATCCTGTCAGGATTTAGGGTACACACACATGCCCATCTGTTAAGTTTTTCAATCAGGTTTTTTTTTTTTTTTCAAGCATCTGGGTCTGGAATTCAGACTGCTATTGACCATGTGAGATCTAGCTCCCTTAACCACTGTTATGCAGCCAACCCTGATGAATGTATTTTTAAAAAGTTAAATAACTCATAACTTTTTTTTTATTTTAAATAATTCTTTTTGGTTGTTTTTTTTGTTTGTTTGTTTGTTTTTTGAGAGGTTTTTGCCACAGGGCATGTGCGCTCACCAGAAAGACAGAGAAACAGAAAGCAAGAAATCATCACCCAGGGGATGGCCACGCCGCAGTCCCTTCTCTTCCATTGTCCTCTCGTTATCTTGGGCATGCACACACACGTGCCCGACGTGAGTTTAAGCCACCGGGTCCAGGACTTGAACCCTACTTGGGAGTCTAGCGACATAGCCATTACACCAGCTGCTGATCGTGCTTTTTTTTATTTTAAAAGAATTTTTTTTAATTAAATTTTATTTATTTATTTTATTTTTATTTGACCAGAGATGGGCAGAGCGAACAAGGGTGGGGAGGGAAGCAAGCTACCAGGTCTGGGACTCAAACCACGGTTGGCCATGCGGGAGTCCAATGCCCTTAACTACCACTCTCCCTGCTCGCCCCAACTTTTTTTAAAGAATTATTTAATTCAGTTAATTAATTTGTTTGTTTTCATTTGACCAGAGAGGGACAGAGTGAAAGAAAGAGAGAAAGTGAGAAAGCAAGCCACCAGGTCCAGGACTCAAACCACTATTGGCCATGTGGGAGTCTGGCATCTTTAACCATCATGCCACCTGCCAGCCCCACCAACATTTCTTTTCTCTCTCTTTTTTTTTTTTAAGAGAAATTTTTGCTATAATGTGTGTGTGCTTGCCAGAAAGACAGAAAGTGAAAAGTCACTCCCCAGGAGGGATGGCCACGCCACAATCCCTTCTCCATTCTCTCGAGACCTTGGGAACACATGCACACATGCCCGGCATGCATTTAAGCCCCGAAGTCCAGGACTTGAACTGTGGTCAACTATGTCAGAATCCAGCGACATAACCATGACACCATCTGCTGGTCCCAATAACTCATAACATTTTATGACAGAAAGAGTAACTCTTGTACATTGTTGAACAATTATGTGGCATTGGGAAAAAATTCGTTTCTTCCATTTCTTTTTTTTTTAATTATTTCTTTATTTAATTCCATTTATTGTTAATTTTTAATTTGACCAGAGAGAGAAAGGGAAAGCGAAAAAGCAAGCCATCAGGTTCAGGACTCAAACCATGGTCGGCCATGTGGGATCCAGTGCCTCTAACCACCACGTCACCTGCCAGCCCCCCATTTCTATTTTTAGTTATTTACTCTATAAATGTCAATAAACTTGAATTGATTATTTCATAATAGGAATTTTGTTATTTTTCTCCCATTAGTTTCTGTGCTTACCTCCTTTCTTTTTCTTTTTTTTTAATGTTTTTGCCATAGGGTGCATGTGCTAGCCAGAGGGAGAGGGAAAATGAGAAATCAACCCCCAGGGGATGGCCACACCACAATTCCTTTTGCTCCATTCTTCTGGGATTTCAAGCATTGCACACACACATGCCTGGTGTGAGTTTCATGCTGCCAAGTCTCAGACTAGAACCATGGTTGGTCATATGGGAATTCAATGCCTTAACCACTACACCACCTTCTGGTTCCTGTGCTTACTTTTTTAACCACAGATTGTGACAGTTTGTGTTCCTAATTCCTAGCCAGATGTAAAATTTATATATAGAAGTTATCAGCTCCCAAATCTCTATTCTTAACTTTTTTTTCTGGAAGTAAAATTAATGTCACATATAATTAATTATTCAAAAGTATACATTTCAGTACCACTTACTGCATTCACAGTGTGACCATCACCTCTGTCTAGTTACAAAACACATCACTCCACAAGGAAATCTTCTACCCATTAAGCTTTCCTGCCCATTCAGTACCACCAGTGTCTGATGGCCACAATCTGCTTTTTAATTTGCTTATCATGGGTATATGAATGGAATCATATAACATGTGACCTTTTGTGTCCAGCTTTTCTCGCTTCTCATATTGCTTTCAGGAGTCATCCATGTGGAAACATGTATAGTACTTCATTCCTTTTTATGGTAGAAATAATACTCCATTTTGTGGATATATTTTGTTTATCTGTTTATCGGGTAGTGAATATATGGGTTTCTACCTTTTTTCTCCAGTTTGCAAGAGTGCACATGTGCTCACCAGAGAGAGAAAGCAAGAAAGCACCCCCTTGAGGTGCAGTCACACCAGTCATTTCTCCCTCCTGTTAGGATTTTATGCACAGACACCCAGCATGTGTTCAAGTCCAGGATTTGAAATACTCAGTCAGCCATTTGGGATCTAGCCACCTTGGCCACTAGGGCCCGG